CCTCCTCCCCATGTCTGGAACCCCTCGTGCCTCCCCTGGGTTCCCACCAGGCCTGGGCCTGCCCCCACGCCGCACCCCACAGCTTTCCTCCCACTTGGCTGGCACTGACCGTCCTGGGTCTGCTCCTCATACTGGACTCCGAGCTCCTGAAGAGCTAAGAGCAGGTCTCACTTGTGCCCACCCCCCTCAACCCCCTGCACAAAAGGCCTGCAAATCAGGACACCACCTTCCGTCTGTCCACCGCGACTATTTACTATCTACTTAGAGTAAATACCTGCTACGTGAGCTACGTGAGCCAGACGGACATGGGGAAATGAACAGGGTGCAATCCTTGGCCCAGAAGATGTGTTGGTGGAAAAAGCAGGCACTTAAACAATAACACTGCCCGAGAGTGACACAGGACAGGACACAAACTGCAGGGGGACAATGCAGCTCAAAGGAGACCGAGCCTCTGCCACCCAGGCAGCCAACACGGCAGTTAAGATGCCTCAGTTCAGAACTCAGTCGGAGGCCTGAGTTCAGATCCCAACTCTGCCTCCTTCTGGCTGTGTGACTTTGGGCAAGTCACTTAACCTCTCTGGGACTCTTATTTCCTCCTCTGTAAAGTGAAATAATAATAGTACCCATCTCACAGGGTGGTTTGAGGATTAAACGAGCTAATACCTGTAGAGCACTTAACCTCATGCCTGGTCTGCACTACACACTCAATACATGTTGGTTATTATTACTTCCTGGAGGGTGGGAGAAGCAAGGGTAAGGACCTCAGAGTTGACACAATCCCTGGATGAACACTCAATGTCTGTGCACTTGGGCCAGAGCCACGCGACCACACTTCGGCTGACAGGACACTCCTGGGCCCCTGGCGTGGAGCCCTAGGCAGCTCCGAGGCGCTCCAGTCCCCACAGAGGTTCTCAGCCCTGGAGGAGAGTCCAGCACGTTGCTGCCACTAAGCAATGCCTCTCGTCTGAGCTGAGGCACGCTGCCGCTGCAGGACGTGTGCTGAGCCCTCGGCACCCCTTCAGGACCACAGCTGCCTGGACAGCAGCCCAGCCTACAGGCCACTCCTCGGGTCTTCTGGCCACCAAGCCGAGCATGGAGCTGCCGGCTGGGTCCAGCGATCATTAGCAGCAGCGAGACAGAGCAGTTCCCAGAGCCCCGGCACAGAGAAGGCTTCCTCTTTCCCAAGCAGCAGCGAAGCGAGGTTTATTAAATATGCGTGGTGAGGGCTTCCCTGGTGGCGCAGTGGTTGAGAGTCCGCCTGCTGATGCAGGGGACACGGGTTCGTGCCCCAGTCCGGGAAGATCCCACATGCCGCGGAGCGGCTGGGCCCGTGAGCCATGGCCGCTGAGCCTGCGTGTCCAGAGCCTGTGCTCCGCAACGGGAGAGGCCACAACAGTGAGAGGCCCGCGTACCGCAAAAAAAAAAAAAATATATGCATGGCGATCGCCTCGTTACTGTGCAAAGGATTGTGTGTACTGAAGGCGAGCCGCCGCATCGCGCTGCGCACAAACTTTTCAATTTCCCCGGCGGCAGACAGGGGGCGGGGGGGGGAGGGGTGCAGGGCGGGGGGGCGGGGGGGGAGGGGTGCAGGGCGGGGCGGGGGGCGGGCCTGGGCTCCCTCCTGCCCTTTTGCAGAGCCTCCTCCACCACCCCTTCCTCCATCCAAGCTGCTTCCACCCAGTGCCCTCCCAACGCCTTCCAGGTATGCAGAGCAGGGCAAAGGTCATATTGATCCCCTTCTTAAGGACAGCTGGTCCAGAACTAATCTTAAATCATCGCAGCCTCACGCTGGAGCCTCGTGGCCGATTGGCCCGAGGGACAGTGGGGCTGGAGTTGAGCTGCAGGGCCTGGGTGGGACTGCATGGCGGCTGGTGAGGGTCGAAATCGGGCGAGGGCCTCGCCTGGGCCCCACCCTTCCCTTCGTCCGTCTGTCTCAAGCTCCTAGGACAGCTGTCAGCAGAAGGAAGCCTTCCAGCCAGCGAAGCGAGGGGACAGCAGACCTGCAATGCGGACACACACCCCACACCCACCAACACCACCGACTCTAAAGGAGCAGCTCGATTTTCCAAACAAACCACACATACGGCAATAAGGACTTAAGTTAGGCAAACAATGACCACAGTAACCGATGCTCATCCAACACTTAGTGTGTGCCAGGCACTGTGTGAAACAGCCCTTTATATAAACCCTCCCATTGAGTCCTCTTGTACCTCTACACAGTACTGCTGTCATCCCATTTTACAGATGAAGTGACTGAGGCCCAGGAAGGCCCAGTGCCTTGTCCGAGGGTGCACAGCCTGGCGGGGCAAGGATCTCCCCAATCTGAAGCAGGCTGCCGGCAAATCAGTTGCCTCCAGGGGAGTGGGGTGCCCAGCAGACCCGAGGTGGGCATGGCCGGGGCAGGGACAGGGCCTCTGTCTTTGATGACGCCTCCCAATTCCTCCCCGTCTGGAAAGTTTCGTAGCCCTGGGAGGGGCCGCCGGGGGGCCCAGCTTTCACCAGCTCCTCAGGCCCTGCTGCCCACACCGCCTGCCCCAACAACCAGCAGCCACTTTGCTCCCACGGGCCTGTGGTTTCAGGGTCCTGCGGCCTCTGGATCCTTCCTTAGAAGATTCTTCCTTGAAAACAACTCTTAGCTCACATCCTGCCTCCCACTTTCCTCGGCTGCCTTCTGCCTCTCCTGTCCCATTTCCCCTGCTGGCAGCATTGAGGATGTCTGCTGGCCAACAGGGAGCTCACAAAGCCTGCTCCTTCCCACCTCGTCCGCACTCCGCTTTCGGCTTCTTCATGTTCCTGGGCTCACTTTTCCCATATGGGGAACAGAGGGCAGGCTGCGTCTCCCCCATCAGCCTAGAGGCCCCCAGGGAAGAGCTGTGTCTCCCCTAACAGACAGGAGGCCCCCCAAGGGCAGGGCTGAAGCTCCCCCATCAGAATGGAGGTCCCCAAAAGTAGGGCTGAGTCTCTCCCATCAGACTAGAGGCACCCCAAGGACAGGTTGGATCTCCCCAATCAGACTAGAGGTCCCCAAGGGCAGAGCTGTGTCTCCCCATCAGACTGGAGGCCCCCTAAGGACAGGGTTGGGTCTCCCCCATCAGACTGGAGCTCCCCAGGGACAGGGCTGGCTCTCCCCCATCAGACTGGAGGCCCTCCAAGGGCAGGGTTGGGTCTCCCCCATCAGACTGGAGGCCCTCCAAGGGCAGGGTTGGGTCTCCCCCATCAGACTGGAGGCCCTCCAAGGGCAGGGCTGGGCCCGCTTCCCTCTCACCGCTGCCCTAAGCTGGGCCCCAGTGCTCGGCTGCTGGCTGCGTCAGAGCCTGTGCAGGCTGCCAGCCGAGAAAGCTGGGAGGGCACTGGGCCTGGCGTGGTGACAATGCAGGGATGCTTGGGCAGGGGCTGCAGGGGGGCCTCATCCTTTTTCCTGACAAATGTCTTGAGACCCAGGTCAGTTGGGGACCTCAAAAGCCCTGGGGAGCCAGTCCCCACTACTCACCCTCCTCTCAGAAGGCCGAGAAGGTGACAGGCCCTTGAGGGAAGTGACAGGGCAGGGTCCGGGGCAGCAGGGAAGCCCCCAAACGAGAACCAGGGGCTGGGAAGGGAGTCAGTGGCCGCAGCTGCTCAGGGCTCCCCGCCCCTACTCCAGCTCTGCCTGGGAGAAAGAGGACCAAGGAATCCAGAAGCTGGAGTGGGGGAGGCAGCAGTGTCCTTCCTGCTGGCGTCTCCCCGGCCCCTCCCAGAGCCCACCCGCTCTGTCCAGGCCCAGCCCCGCCAGTGAGGTCAAAGGTCCTGGTCCTGTTCAAGCAGCCCCTCAAGGGTGGCAGCCCAGCGTCACCTTTAGCCCCCAGCCCTCTTCTCCTCAAAGGCTGATTGTAGTTCAAAACCCAAATCCTCTGATTCTGCCCGCGGCGCTGCCTCTCACCCCACCTCCCCTTCCAGCACCCAGAAGAACCGCTAATCAAATATCTCCTGGCACTGGCACTGACCAAGCATTATCTCACTGAGCGGCGAAAGGACCGCAGGGAAAGGATGCTTGTTCCCCTTTCACAGATGGGAAAACTCGTGTTCACAGACGGGGTCCCCCAAGGCCCCAGCAGGTGAGTGGGGGAACCGGAAGGCAGAGCCAGGCGTGCACAGCTCCGAACGCTGCACTTCAGCAAAGATGGGAAAGTTAGCGCCAAGACCCTGAGGTTCAATCCCGGGTCTCAGAGCTCACCCACAGCTCCCTGGGCCTCAGTTTCTCCATCTGCCAAACCAGGACAGTGTCATCCGGGACCCGGCCCCAATCCCCTGGGATCTTACAGTCACCTGGCTGTTGAGTAGCTGATGTATGGCTGCACGAGAGAGGATAGAGCGGGCGAGAGAAGCCGTGGAGGCACGCGGGGGCTTGTCTGTTCTGACCCCAAGCCCACACCCACAGCTCCCCTCTGGGCCTGGTGGCCGCTCATTTCAAGTCGATAATCCAAACACATCAAATAACGGCAAACTTCACCAAAATACCATTCAGGGAGCCACGCGGGCATGGGAAGAAGCCCCTGGACCAGGCTCTCAACCCAGGGCTGAGGATCCAGCAATGCTTGTGATGGGCCACGGCAGGACCCAGCAGGCTCCACGTCCACACTGTTTAAAGAGCCCAGCGCCCAGGATGGCTGCGTTCACCCTGGCTATCCCCTCAGCACAGCTGGGTCCTGGGTACCAGTGGGAGCACAGGGACCCCAGCTCCACCTCCACAGGGAGCAGCAGACACAACGGAGGAGCAGCATCACTGCCCAGCGGGCTGGGGAGCCTTCCCCTCACAGCAGCCCCGAGGGTGCGTGTCGGGGCAGGGGGTGGGGCCCCACAGGGATCCTGGCCCCCTCGTGCTGCCCAGAAAACTCTGATGATCCCTGAGACGCGGCTGGGAGCCGAGAGCGGTGCCAGGTAGAATGCAAGAAGGTCTGCAAGGGTGTGCCCGGAGATGACCCCCCCAGGACCTGGACCCACCAGCCACAAGGCAGGGCCGGTACCTGAGTCTGCAAGCTGGTGGCATCCAGGACAGTGACCCGGGGCCCACAGCTGGCCCACACGGTGTCCTCCAGGCTCAGCAGGGTGCGGACGGGCCCAGGTCCCACAGTCAGGCACACAGGCGGGCTCTCCAGGTCCCAGGGGACGCCTCCTGGAGGGAAAGCAAGGAGGCAGGTCAGCAGCAGGGGGTGGGGGATGGCAAACGGCTCAGAGGCCCAGGGCTGCTCAGCCCTCGGGAGCCACGGGCCACAGCGGCCGCCACGCCTGGCTCCGTGAGAGCTCTTGGCCCCTTTCTCTGCCCCTCACCCTCCCCAGTGGCATGGCGGCTGTTCCCATCTGCCTCTGTTTATGTTCCACCCGCTCTGGGGGCTGTACTCCCCACTTCTCCCTCCCTCCCTTCCTCTCTCCCTTTCCCTCTCTTCTGTGCATTCATTCCACACACACCTAGTAAGCACCTACTCCATGCCAGGGCCTGTAATGGGTGCTGTGAAGACAGAAATAAATCAGACACAGACCCTGCCCTCAAGAAAATCCCCGCTGGATGGAGAAAACAAAGGGTTAAACAGCAGTTACCACACGAAGTGCCAAGCCCAAGTGGCCAGGCATGCACAGAGGGCCTTGAGAGCTGTTAAGATGGAAGGAACCAACTCTGCACAGGGGAATTCCAGGGAGGCTTCCCCGAAGAGGCAGCATCCACAGAGCCCTGCCAAGAAGGTGGCACGTGGTGGGGAGTGTCCTGGCCCTGGTTCTGCTGGCAGCTAACTAAGGACCTTGAGTGCACCTCTCTACTTCTCAAGGCCTCAGTCTTCCCACCTGTAAAATGGGGAGGGTGCTGCGAATAAGACTGTCTCTGAAGACATTTCTGACACTGTAACTTATTGAAAATGAGTCTCGCCTTCTCACACAGCTTCTCGCCTACTCCAAGGCACTCTGTCACCTCTACCAAGATCTCTGATGACCTTCCTCCTCCAGAGATGCCACCACCCCAGGTATGGAAGGAGGAAGTCCCGAGAGGCCATCGGTCCCCAGCCCACCATCCCTGAAGACAGGCAGATGAAGGGATCCGGCCCAGCACTGAACGAGGCTCTCTCCCACCACCCTCAGGGATGCTCGGCTCACCCAAGAACAGGCCAAGGATCTTCCCTGGCATGAGAGCAGTGCCCACGGAGACTGGTTTTTCTCTGAAGCTACACCTGATGCCATACAGAACCCCAGAGGCTGTCCTGTCTGCCAGGGTGCCAGATGGGACAGGAGGGTTGAGCAGGAAGTGGGGCACACCTCTGAGATACCATCAGCAGCGGGAGGCAGGACAGAGCCTGCCACTGGCTTGTCAGTGCCCAGCCACTCCCATCCCCCCTCCACAGGGTCCCTGGAAGGGGTGCAAAGCAGCCCCGGCACAGGCCCTCCCTCTGAGCCAGCTGCTGGGTGGTGCGATGGAGCTGTCTGCAGAGCTGGAGGGGTGTGGCAGGAGGACCCATGGAAGACAGACCAGATTCCCCCACCAGCACGCTCCCCTCCCCTTCCTGTCAAGCGTGTTCTCCTCTCCCCTTCAGCCCTACTTAAACTTGGCAGACTCCCAGCTCAGCTAAGAGTTGGAAAATACACCCCCCAGCCCCCGCCCAACCAACACACATCCAGTTCTTTCCAGCCCATGAATAGGAGCATGTGGGAAGCTGCGGCCTCTCAACCTCTGCATTAACTTGGATGGGTGATGGTGACGTCACCTCTCTGAACCTTAGTTTCCTCATCTGTAAAGTGGGCATGATAACCGTGCCTACACCTCGCCGGATGTTGGAGGGATCAAATTAAATGTGGTGAATGTTTAGCACAGGGTGGGCACCCAGTGAGGAGCGTTGACAGCTGCTGCCACATTCTGTTACACGTGGGCATGCCAGGCACTCTTTTCATGAATTATTTCATTACCTCCCACCAGCCTGTGTGGAAGATTCTATTCTTATCCCTGTTTTACAACTGAGAAAACTGAGACCCAGAGTTTAGAGAACCAGTCCGAATCACACAGCTCGACGGGACCCGCTGCTCATTAGCTCTGCCTGTTGGCTGTCTTTTGACACAACACGAGAGCCCGCGGAAGGGCACTGACTGATGCGACGGCAGACACCCAGGGAGCCCAGAGCTTGCACAGAGCCACCCAAGGAGGGTGGACCAAGCAGGGTTGGAACTCGGCTAACTCTGTCCTGGCCTCCTTCCCCAGTCCCTGCTGCCCTCTCAGGTTCCAAGGGTTTCTAAAGATCTCTGGGGAGAGTGACCATGACGCAACCAGGCCTCCACAAGGGACGCTGACCCCCATCGGGCCACCAGAGCCACAAAAATACGAGGCTTTGCGCGCCCTCCAGCGGCCAGAGGTGAGTACTGCTTGTGGCCAGAAGCTGGAGCTCCCGCCACTAAGGCTAAGGTGGGGGCTGAGAACCCTGCCAGGAAGGAAGCAGCTGGGATACTGGAACCACACCCCCAAAACGGAAATGCGAGCTCTGCCCCGTGGGCAGTGATGACCAGCAGAGCCCGTGCACCCTCTACGCTGTACCTTCCTGGAATAGTACAGCTGCCTGGGGTAGGGGGTAGCATCTGCTACCCTTGAGGGTCACATGTGCACTGACCACTCCTCTGCCTGCTGGGCATCTCTCCTGAATCCAGGAGAGAATGATTAACTGATAAAATAATACCGATATCATTATATCAAAAAGGACACAGGACAGGAGTCCCTGATCTGAAGGCCCATGGTGGGACCCTAAACAAGAGGTTTCCCCTTGCTGGGACTCAGTTTTCCAATCTGCACCCCAAGGGGACAGACCTCTGACCTCTAAGGTTCTTCCCAGCCTCCACAGGCCACAAGTCTAAGACTTTAAACATAATCATTGTGAGCTCTGGGCAGGGCTAGAGCCCTACCCACCCCAAGCCTGCCGGGGGATCCATCCCTCCACCTGCTCCCTGCCCACCAGTGGCTGTAGGTACACATGCTCCAGAACACACGTGCACACCTACAAATTCACACCCGCCCCCTGCAAGACGGCCCATTCGTGAGGGCTGGGCCCGGCATCAGCTCTCACGCCAGATGAACGGAGATGAAGCCCCTGTCTCAGCAAAAGCAACTTCAAGAGGCAGGAGTCCCTCCTCCCCCAGGCTGCAGGGGAGAAAGCCCAGCAGGTGTCCTTGGGGGTCCAGATGGAGCCGGAGCCAGAAGTTAGGATACAGAGTGCAAGTCGTTGAGATCGAGGGGGACCCAAAAGGCAGCCAGTAACAGTGATGATGGTGGAAAGGCAACAGGCATGAGTCTGTGCCCAGGCTCCGTTCTGGGCACTTGTGTGACTGACCGCACCTGGCCTTCACAACCACCCGCTGCCGTGGGGCTGAATTCATCCCCATTTTACAGGTGAGGAAACTGAGGCTCCAAGAGAAGCAGCAGCAACAGGCCCGATCTCTCACAGCAGGGACCCAATCCCGACAGCCTGACCACGTCCCAGACCATCATTCACCCATTCCATCGTCTGGTCCCTCCGGGGGGTGACCCTGGCCCACGTCCCCAGCATCTAACCAGGGACATTCCCACACCCCAACCCAGGCCCGGTCACGCTCCTGTCTCTGCTCGGAGCCGGGGGTGGTGGCGGACAGAGGGGGTCCAGGCAGCCCCGTCCAAACACAGGATGGGCAGGGGGAGGGGTCACCTGGCTCATGTCCCAGCGCAGTACCAGCCACCTCGTGGGCACTGAACGCGTATTTGCTGCGCGAGTGAATGAACGAATGAGGGAGCGAATGCTGATACGCGGAGGCTCCTGGGGGCAGCAGACTGACTGCCACGGCCACGCTGCCATGGAGTCGGATTCTCCATCTGTCACCTGGAGCTTGGACTCCAAGGCCCCCCCAGCTCTAACAGCCCAGGACTCCAAGTGGCCTGGTGACCTTAGAATCTTCACAGTTACCTCACAGCTGCTGGTTCCACAGGACCTCCAGGACTCAGCAGGTCCCCAGGTTGGTTTCGACCTGTTTCACCCAGTATTTCTGGTCCTGCCCTCCTCCAATGAGCCAAAGCTGGGCCAGGGATGCCAGCTTTATCTGGTCTTGGTCTTAGCCAGGCCCAGGCAAGACGGCAAACCTGTCTTATGGACACTGACAGATATCTCACCAGTATCTGCTCCGCACCCAGAATAAGGGTCTGGATTATTCAAAATCCCCATGGGGCACCAGAGGTGGGTTCTGCGGGCCCAAGGCCAGAGGCTGGCCCGGGAGCAGCTCCCAGCTCCAGCTTCGGGGCTGGGACGGAGTCGGGGTATCTGAGGGGTATCCGAGGCCCCACGGCTGGGTCATGGGCCAGGCTGATGATTCCAGACCCAGCCACATGCAGCCCAGATGAAAGGCGTGTGGTCCTGAGAGCCCCCCTTCCTGCCCTGGCCACCTCTGGAGGACACCATAGGAAGGGGAGGCACCAGGCCAAGGTCTCTCCCAGAGGCCTCCCTGGCCAAAGGCAAACCAAAAGCCAGAGGGTGGGCTCCCATGGACAGAGTGACCCAGACTCCCCTACCCGGCTGGCTGCGGCAGCCTCCCAGACAGCCTGCCTACGTCCACTCCATCCACCAGCCACAGTGCTCGGCCACTCCCAACACTTCCCTCCACTTCCCATCGACCGAGACAAACCCCAGGCCCACAGGGTCCAGTCCATCTGCTCCCAGACCCTGCCTGGTGCCGCTTCCCACTCCGGCTACTGTCCAGCAAGACAGCCTCCCCACCAGACCAAATGCTCTCCTGCTTCCAGGTCTCTGCACATGCGCTTCCCTCGGCGAGAACACTGTTCCCCCAACTCTTCACTGGCCTGGCCGCTTCTCCTTCTTCGGGTCTCACCTTCAGGATCTCACTCCTTAGAGGCCTTCACCAACCAGCCCACCCCACGCACAGGAGGTCAGGCTCTCACCCGACACCCTCTTCCTCCCCTTAGGACTCTCAGCACGATGTGTAATAGTAAGCTTCCTGCCTGTTCATTTGACTCATCTATAAATTAAACTTGTCTCCCTCTATAAACTGTGAGGGTGGGCTCACATCTGGTTTGCTGGCCACCATATCCATGGTGCACAGTAGCTGCTCAGTAAATAGTTGGGGGACAAATGTTTGCAAGGTGGGACAGCTAGTGGAGCATCTCAACCTCCTCCTCTAGGCAAGAGAGCACCCAGCCAGCCCTGGAGGGAGGATACTTAGGTTCAGGTCTCGGCTCACCTGTGGGACTCTGGGCAGTCCCTTCCCACCCAGAATATGAGGGTGTGGCATCTGATGGTCCCCTTTGGTTCTGACGAACCACCAGGCTCCAATCCCAGGCTGAAAGCCAATGCTTAGACCCCATCCCCCTATGGGTTGAATTGTGTCCCCCAAAATTCAGTCATTGAAGTCTTAACCCCTAGTACCTCAGAACGTGACCTTGGTTGGCAACAGGGTTGTTGCAGTTGTAATTGGTTAAGATGAGGTCATATTGGAGGAGGGTGGGCCCGTAATCCAACATGACTGGGGTTCTTATTCCAAAGGGCTATTTGGACACAGGCTCACCCAAAGAGAACCCCACATGAAGATGGGGGTTATGGTGCCACAAGCCAAGGAACTACCCAAAGCTGGGAGAGAGGCCAGGAACAGATCCTTCCCCAGTGCATTCCGAGGGAGCACGGCCCTGCTGACACCCTGATCTTGAACTTCCAGCCTCCAGAATGTGAAACAATACATTACACTGTATAAACCACTCAGTTTGTGGTACTTTGTCATGGCAGCCCCAGCAAACCGATACACCCCCTCGCCTCCTCCCAACCCGGACGCCCAAACTGATGAGTCAGGAACCAAGACGGAAAGGGCTGGAGGCAGCCGAACTGGCGGCTGAGAAGCCAGCGCGGGCAGGGCAGGGCTCCCAGCCTCCCGTGGGAGCCAGAGGGTAAAAGTCTCCTGAGAACCCCTGATCTAGATCTCCGAAAATCTGAGCCCATGTTGACATTCACACGCACAGTCTGTCTGATGGTGAGAGGGATTTTTTCCCCCTCCCTCTACCCCCATTAATTAAAAACTATAAATGCCTTATTGAAAGCTAATTTAAAATACCAACACAGTGCCAAGTGGCACAAAAAAAAAAAAAAAAAAAAAAAAAAAAAACTCAGTACAAATATCCGGTTATAATCCTGCCACAGGCTGTGATGATGCAGCAATTAGAGGCGCGTGGGAGGGGGAGGGAGGCTGAGGCTTCGGCACATCAGCTCTCTCTGGAGGTGCTGGGGGCAGCTCTCTGCTCTGCCCAGCCCTTGCCATTGGACTGGGAGCTGAACGAGTCACAAGGGGACAGGGGACCACAGCACTCGTGTCCCTCCCCGAGTCTCAGCATCAGCATCCGTAAAGGGGAGGCAGTTCTCAAGGGTCGTGGCGAGAATTAAGACAACGCGCCTGCATAAGCACTTCACCCCATCCCGGCAAACGGCAGCTCAAACGCTGTCAGCCTTGCTCTCCAGACGTTATTATCTGTGCCGTCGATGACTTAATAAAATAATGGAGCTTGAAATGCCTCACCCCACTGGGCACTCGCTGTGCCGGCTCCTATGCTTTGCCTTCACTGCACCTTTTACCCCACAGGTACCCGTGAGCTGTGGGTGTTACCATGATTCCCATTTTACAGATGAGGAGACTGAGGCACAGAGGAGAAGCTGCTCGCCCATAGACACATCTGTCATCAGGGCAGAGCGTGGACATGAAGCCAGATCTATCTGAGCCCAGAGACCCTGCTCTCATCCAGCAGAGTTTCCCGCCAATGGGCTGAGTTGCCTGTATGGTAGTGAGCACCCTGTTCCTGTGGGGATCAGGGATCTCCAATCTCCCCAGCACTTCGATTCCCCGATTTTTTTCTGAGCTGCCTCCCTGGCCTGCCTCCCATAGACGCTCTGGTACAGGATGTGGCTCTCAGTCAGGGCCCAGGGCTGCCCCCATCGCCCCCAGCCCCCCATCCTTACCGCTGGTTCCGGGGTACGCGGCGAGGGTCCCATCCTGCAGGCCGGCAAACAGGTGGAAGGGGCTGTGCCGCAGGCAGAGCACGGGCTGCAGGCCTGGGCTCCTGCAGGTCGCCAGGCACTGGGTGCCCGTGTCCACACTGCTGTAAACCAGGATGCTGTGGGGAGAGGTCAGGTGACTCACTTAGCCCCCCAGGTGCCCACTCCCCACGTGCCCTCCTGGTGAGAGTCTCCGAGCCGCCCCAACCAAGCTCAGTGAGCCCCCCTGCTGTGTGAACAGGCCGCTGCTCGGACTTTTCCATGGGTGGCCTTTAGAGGATGGTGCCCGTGGAAAACAGGGGGCTCTGGGTGCAGCACAATAGAGGGGCTAAGAGAACAGTTTTCAGGGTCACACAGACCCGAGGGTGAATCCAGACGGGGCCCATCCAGCTGACTGCCCTGGACCGCTGAGCCTCAGTCCTCTCCAAGAAACGGGGCCGTGATGCCTACCTCACGGCCATGAAAAGGAAGGAAGCACCGACGTGCTACGTGGGTGAACCCTGAAAATGTTATGGGGAGCGAGAGAAGCCAGACACAAGAGGCCACACACTGTGTGACTCCGTTTGCCTGAAATGTGCAGAAGAGACAAATACAGAGCAATGGGAAGTGGACTCGTGGTTCCCAGGGATTGAGGCAGGGAATGGGGGCTGACACAGGGTTTCTTTTGGGGGTGGTAAGAATGTTCTAGAACTATGTAGTGGTGATTGTTGCCCATCATGAATGTACTGGAAGCCACTGAATTATACGATTTAAAATGGTTAAAGTGGTGAATTTTATGTTGTTTGAATTTGATCTCATTAAAAGCAAAGAGTGTTCACCAGACCCCTGGGTTCCATGGACCCAGACCAGGACATCACAGAGCCTCTAGTGTCTCCAAGTTGGTTCTACGTATGTTAGCTTTTAGCTCCTCCCCCAGCTGCTTGTGTGGGAAACACTTCATAGTGGGGCTACTGTGAGGCTCACAGCCCCTGGCTCAAGGAGCAGCACACAGTAGGGGCTCAGGAAACATCCTCTCTCCCCGCTTCCCCCGACTCTAGGACAGGCATGAAAAGCTTGGAGCTATGAGGAGGACGTGGGGCTGTAGCCCATCTCAGGGTCTTGTTCATCACCATCTTCACCTTCTATTTAAGTGGGATGAATATTCATCCTCCATCCACACGGCTGGACCCTGCAGCAGGCTAAACTCTGGCGGGAGTGCCCCTTGCTGCAAGGAAGTATTGCTGACTCACCAGCTCCGGGAGGGTCTTACTGAGGGAGCCCCCTCTGCCAGCAGGTCTCATAACCTGGGAACACCCAGGACGCCTACCCGCCCTGCAAAGCTAACTGAGGCCATAGCTGGGTGGATGCTGTCAATTACAGAGAAGGGACCTAAAGGCTTCACATGTCCCATGTCCTAGTGGACTCTCACCGCGGCCCTGCATGGAAGGATGCTAACACCCACTTCACAGACAGGAAACTGAGGCTCAGAGCGGTTAAATGGCATGAGGAAATAACAGATCCAAACCCAGCTCTGGCTGACACTGAAGTCAGCGTTGCCCTCAGTACCACACTACCTGGAAGGGAGCCAGCTTGCGTGAAGCAGCCACTGAAGGGTCCTGGTTAAAGTGCGAGCAGCTCCTGGTTCCCCCTTTCTGCTCTCAACCAGGGGTGGAGAATGTTGGTGGGTGACAAGCCAAAGCTACACGGACAGCCTCCGATGCACCTGCCCAGTCCTGCCCCAGGCTGTTCCCAGTCCCTCCTCCCCAGACCCCTAACCTGCCATCCTGGAGCCCGAGGCAGACGGTGGGGTGCACTCCAGCCGAGGCGTCAGCAGCCAAGCACTTCTTGTCTCCGTCTCTGCTCTCCTCCTCCTCCGGCTCCGGAATGTACTCCATGCAGAGCACAGGGGCCACCAGCGGAAAGGACTTGACCGTGCGGGGCGCGGGCCGGTTCAGGGAGAAGATCTCGACCTGGCCCCCTGCACCTTCCTGCCCGCCCCCAACCTGGGGCAGAGACCCAGAGAGGCCATCAGGTGAGAACCATGAGAGCAGAGGCAGAGCTCAGCCCCTGCCTCCCAGGGACCCGTCCCGAACTTCTACTTGCCACTGGGGTTAGGTATCAAGAGAAACGTCCCCCCTCCTGCCCACACATATCCTGCTGTCACTGAAGGTCGCTTGGTCCCAGCTGCCATGGCAACAAGTTAGATTCAGGGTCCAAAGGAAATCAGGTAAAGAACTAAGGTGGACTAGATACCCGGTCAGCTTTCTATTTCCTCATCTCCAGGGTGAATTTCAACCAACAAATAGTGAGCATAACACTCTGCGCTTTAAAATGTCCTTCTCTGTCCTGTTCACTGTTCTACCTCTGTGTCTAGCACATGGCAGGCACTCATTATATGCTTGCTGAGTGGATGGATGGATGGAAGGATAATGGATGGATGGATGGATAGATGGATGGAAGGATAATGGATGGATGGATGGAAGGATAATGGATGGATGGATGGATGGATGAAAGGATAATGGATGGATGGATGGATGGATGGATGGAAGGATAATGGATGGATGGGTGGATGGATGGATGCATCATGTGCTAGACACTGAGGAAACAGTGAAGAACAAATCACCCTCAGAGGGGACATTTGGGCTGAACTCTGAAGGGTGAGCCAGAGTTTCCCTGCTTAAGTACCTGGAGACAGGAATAAGCAAGAGGAAGTAGAGGATGTCCAGAGGGGTGGTGAGGCTGGAACCTCAGCGAATCTATGGGAGGCCACCATCTGCACACCAGGAGCATGCGGGGTGGAGAACACCTATTTGAATCGAGGGAGGCTCTGCCAGGAACCCCAGGGGCAGAAAGGTGGGCTGGGATCTCCGTGAGAGATGGGCGGCCCTGCCCCCTGACTCCTGGAGTGAAGACCCTGCCATCCACATACTCCACACAGCTTCCCGTTCATTTCCGTCATGGCACCAAGGCCACTTCCAAGCTCACAAATAAGTGAGCTTATTTGCCCCTTATTTGTGAGGGTTTTCTGTTGTCCCTGGTGAGGTCACACCTGCCAACTCTGAGCACAGAGCCTGGCACAGAAGTTCCCAGGAAGACCTTGCTGGATGAAGGTGCAGAAAATGGGGGCCACAGGCAGGCAGCTTTCTCCAGCACCCACCCCAGGTGCCACCCTCCCTGCTCATGCCCTGAGGCCAGAATCCCTGGCTGGGCCTGGCGGTTACTCACCCAGAGGTAGCCCTGTGGAAGGGAGGTGCTGACAGCCGAGAAGCCCAGCAGGGGACAGCTGACAGGGCTGTGGATCAGGGCCCCAAGCTGCAGAGACAGACGGCACACACAGGGTTAAGTGTCGAGGTGACTGAGATGCTGACATTTGACAGCAAGACCTTGGTCTGAACCACCCAAGGGGCTGTTAAACCTGCAGATTCCTGGGTCCCCTTCAGGCCCCGAGTGAGGCCCCTGAGAGTGGAGCCAGAAAGGGGACAGGTTCCTCCCCAGGCAGCTCCTATGCACTCGCACTTGACCATTGCTCTCCTAGAACCTTCTGGCCAAAAGGAGGCTGAATGAAACTCTGGGCCAGCAGAGGGATTTTCAAACCAGGCAACTTCCAGATAAGATTTGTTGAAAACCACTAATGCCCACGCTCCATATTTTACAAACGGGGAAAATGAGGTCCACGGAAGACACGCAATTGCCCGAGGCCACGGGGACGGTAAGTGCATCCCCCAGGGAAGCACAATGGAGGGGGATCCTCAGGTCAACAGAGCCCCCCTGCAGACGACCCCTCCAGGACCAGAGGGCTGGGTCCTCGGTCTGGGGCTCCGTCTGTAATGGGTTGTCACTGAGAACCACCAGCCGCTTCTTCCTTGAGCATCTGCTACCCCAAACCCCGTGCCTCTGGTGGCTCTCCGGGGCCTGTTTCCTGAGCTAGATCTGCCCGTCTGTCTCTCCCTGTCCACATTGGCCAGGACAGCAATGTGAGGAGATGGCCTGGCCCTTTCATGGGCCTTGTTGGAAACTCCAACCAGACTTAAGGAGAAGGAGGCTGAGTGGGGAGAGCTCCAAGGTGCCCCCAGGAGAAATGCAGCACCGCTGGACCTTTTGACAGGCAGGTGCTGCCCTCTGCTGGTCCTGAGGGCCCGGCCAATCCCAGCCCTGCTAGAATATTCTAATAAAGTCTCCAATGGCCATGGGTGAGGGGACCCAAAGAGGTCACCGCATCCAGCCCCCTCATTTAGGAGTTGGCAAACTTGAAGTTTGGTGGGTGGGGGGATGTGACTGGTTCAAGGTCACACAGCAAGTTAATGGCAGAGTCGGGGCTGGATTTCAGTTCCAAATCCCAGCCCAGTGCTCTTTCTGGCTGAACTCTACCCAGAGGCCAGACTGCCAGGCTGGAGACCTTGGCACTCTGGGGTACAACTTATGCCGGGCCTCCTGGGCACCCTCAGCCCCCTGTTCCCCATCACTTTGCTTCTTGGGGGGCCCACATCCAGAGGGGTGCCTGGCCCTTTCTGCCACGCAGCTGCTCCTGTCCTCTCAGACGGGGAGGGGGCAACCGCAGCCCTGGCTCAGACATTTCCATGGCAACTCCAGCAGGCTGGATGTCAGCCCGGTCAACAGAGCCTGGGTCCAAGACGATGGCAAAAACTCAAACGGCTCCCTGGAGGGGCAAGGCCCTGGACCCAGAAGTCCTGTCCATGCCAGGAAGCCGACTCCCCAAAATCAAGGTGCCCCATACAGAGCGGAGGAGAGCACAGGCTGTAGAAAGGAGGCCAGCTTTGGACGCAGCCAGCGGGCTCCAGTCCCAGCTCGGCTGCTACCAGCTGGGCGACCCCACAAACCCGTTCTTCATGGTCATGGGGACCTTGACATCCTGTCAGGATGGCCTTGGGGAGTAGAGATGGTGGACGTGAAGCCCAGCAGTGGCCACTGCTCACGAGGACTTCCTGTGAGATGCGTGAGCACTCACTAAGCAGTAACACGCCGTCAGCAGAACACTATGGGGGAGGGGCTGTTCCACATGAGCCACTGTGACACACAGTTAGGAGCCAGGGACCCACGAACAGCAATTCTGGCGGATGGAGGGTGAGAGCCGGGACAGAGCCCACTTAGCTCGTGTACTGAGGCCTAGGCAAGCCTGCCGACAAGACCCTCTGCAGCTCTGGGATGCAGCCCCCAGGCCCCCAAGATGCTTGCGTGTTAAAGCTCCCCAGAGTGGGCACCCACCCCCTCCCCAAGGCCCTGTCCCCAGCCAGGCCTCTAACTGGACCTCAGCCCAAGGGAGAAGGGGTTTGCACTGAGCCCTCCCCTTCCCACCCCCCTTGCCCGCCAGGGAGAGGCTTACACCTCGGATGGAGCCCAGGTTCAAGAAGAACCTCCCAACACCTGACAGTCAGGCTATCGCAAACCCCCCAAAACAGACACCAGTGACTTTTCCTTCCTGGGGACCAAGATGTCCTCAAATATTTGCTTCCAATTCTTGAACTCCGAAGGCAGGGCACACAGCAGACGGTAAGCATTTGACAAGAATCGTATCATTTAACCCTCACTATGACCCAATCAGGGAGGCACCACGGCCACCCCAGTTTACGCACTGAAGACACAGCTGGGACGTGCAGAGCTGGGATTCAGACCCAGGGCAGGGTGGCTCCCGTGGGTGCTCTTTCCCTCCCCCAAGCAATTCCCTGATGAGTCTGAAGGCCATGGTGCAGCCCAGCATGGGGACCGGCCATCCTCAGCACCGAGAGGAGAGATGCTCTTTCCTTCAAGCCCAGCATCCCCGCTCCCTTGAGAGAAAGAACCCAGCACACACCCCCATCTGGCTGGCAGTACAAGAGGTCTGAGCTCATCTACGCTGGGAGAGGGGTTGGAATAAAGAGCCTTTCCGGGAGAACAGCCTCGGCTGCTGCTCTTGTCGGGCCAGCCGCGGAGCCCGAGTCCTGGACCCCCGGGACTGGGCGTGGGGAGAGGTGTAGGCAGGGACCCACACGCTCACATCTGTTCGCAGTAATTGGACAAGGCCCTGGAGCTCAAGGCCCTAATCCACCTGCTGCTGGCACGGAGCCGATGGGCACATGTGTCTGGTCCGGGGTGGGAGGCAGGTGCAAGCAGAGGGCACGGTGTCTTGGGGCCCAGCAAATGGGGACATGCAGGCTCTGATAAGTCCCTCGGGAGCTCCACGGGCCCATCACTCGCGGGGATTCCCTCACAGCTCCCTTGGATCCCTCGGGGGCGGGGCGGAGGGTGGTGTTCCTCAGGAGAGGTCGGGCAGCGGGCCGGGAGGGGCCTGAGGACGCTTCCAGCCTACACGGCCCCAGCCCCATGGGCTTCACACGAGGAGATTCTGAGGCCCAAGTCCCCCCAGGGAGAGGAGGCAGATGGCTGCCCGCTCAGGTGGGCGTTTCTTGCAGGGAGGCCCCGGAGGCAGCGGCCTGTCTGTGACCCCACCACCCCGTGTGGCCTGTCAGGGCATGGGCCCGCGTCCTGTATTCCCCAGAGGCCCAAGGCCCCGGGGGGAGATGGGACAATCCATTCCCCACCCCAGAAGTCCTTCTCCACGGGATGCGCTAGGGCCAGGAGAGCCGCAGGCAGGGGCGACCTGAACCGTCCCTACCGCGAGGCCCACAGGCAACCCCCAGGAGGTAAGAGCCTCCCGTTATCAATAAATAAGGACTGAAGTCCTACAAAGGCTGGGACTGTTTGGTGGGGCGATCGCGCTGGGGCACATGCCAGCCAAGCCCCAGGGAGCGGCGGGAAGGCACAGGATCAGGCAGGGGTCAAGAAAACCCTCCTTGCCCAGCGGGCAAGTTATCACTCCTGAATCCCTTCTCTCAGCCGCAAGGAGTAGCAGCCCCTCCTCTGAGGGCAGCTGCGGGGATCAGAGTTCATCGCTGGGAAATGCCCAGAACGGAGCCTGGCACGGATGCCTCTGGGAAGGGCCTGACCCCAAGTTGTCAAGACTAAAGGACTTTAAGTCATATCGCTGTTGCTGTTATTGTTGTTGTTGTTATTACGGCCACTGTCCCCTGAGCACCCGCTACCAGTCAAGCTCAGTGCTGGGAACCTGACCCAGCCTCTCTCACTGAATCCCTAAATCAGGCTGTGGAACAGGAAACAGCAGCCCACGCCGCTGACACCAGCTTTCGGGAGCGCAAGCCAAACACTCAGCTCATCCGTCCTCTCCCGCAGCCTCAGCCCCCGCCTAATCTCTCACCAGTTCAGCCATTCCTACCCCAGAGCGCGGCCCCAGTGTCTGCCCACCAGGGCCGGGACCAGGGTGAGGAGAGCGGGGCACTCATCCCAGGGGCACATCTTCAGCGGGGCCCAAACACTCAGAGATATATTTTAACACAATCAAGAAAATATTTTAACACGATTTGTTTACAATAAAAATGCAAAAAAAAAAAAAATCCATAGTGAATAATTACTAAGAGTTTAAATAAAGGCAGGACCTGACCCTGCCTCACCCTAATGCTGGCTCTTTATTTACCAAAAAAAGCCAGCAAACCAAGGCCACAGTTTGCTGGTCTGATTTTTTTTTAAGTATTGTGTGAAAATATCACTTATTTCGACCATGAGTGCCTCACTTGTCTCGCGCTAGTCCTCCCCAGCCTCCAGCCTGGCCTCCTCCCCGCCTCCACCTGCACCAAGTCCCACCCCATCTCAGCAGGATCTCAGCGCCAAGCTCTGCTCCGGGCTCTTGGTCTCCAGCCCGGCTCCCTCCGTGCCCATGGTTCACTCCCACACAAAAGCCAGAAGGATCAGATGATCCTTCCAAAATATAAACCAGATCGTGCCAGTCCCCTGCTTGGAGCCATGCTTGGCTTTCCGTTGCCAAGAATGAAATCCAAACCTGACCCAGCCTGCGAGTCCGGTGTGGCCCAGCTCACCCACCATTGGGCCTCCCCTCCCAGCTCACCGAGCTACAGCCATGCCAACTGCCCCAACCACCCCTATCATGCACTTCTGTGTCAGTCTGTCTTGTCTTGTCAATATTTGAAATATTCTCCCCCTGGGGCCTCAAGGGGTTGGATCCTCCTTGCCATTCCGGGCTCACTTTTTTTTTTTTTTTTTTTTTTT